AAATTTACAATATGCCTGGACAAAATGATGTCTTTTCTTTGTTACTTTTACTTAACAAAGTATTGAGGTAAGCTAAAAAATTATTATCTCCAAACGAATAAAATTTCTTGTGTTCCTAAGTGACACTCTTTGACCGTTTTTTCTTTTTCTTTGTAATGATTTCGATTGTATCCTAGATTTTAATCTCTCAGACAACCCAAGTTGTTTCCTACCTCTCTTCAAATGTGATTGTTTCAACTGGACCGGTGGTTTTTTCTGCAGTAGCTTCTTTATTACTAGAAAACAGTAGACACTATAAGTGAAACAGCAAATGTTTCATGCCTATGTAAATGTTAAAAAAATACGAAAACTGTATCTCACTTACTCTTTTCCTCTATGGGTTTTACATGAACTCTCAAACACTGCCCATCAACTAAAGCTTCCTTATGTGTGATACCAGCTGCTGTATATTTACCAAACACTATGCGTACAATTACTTGCTTTGTTGTATTTCTGTTATTCACCAACAGAAATTGTATTGGTTTATCCTTGGCTGATCCTGAAGTAATTTCACCACTTTGACGAAGGCGTTTACGGAGTTGCGACTTTTGTCTGCTATTTTTATTGTTACTCTGTAAGTGGCACAAAATAATTAATAAGATATGTAATAAATGCTGTGTCGAGTTACCATTGATATTAGCTGAACCAACCAAAGCAATTTTTGAATAAAATTTACACAATAATCTATTAAAATAATGATGCATTTGTTTGTTATTGTAAAACTATGCTTGGATCTTGGAGGATAACTAATGTTTACAGATCTAAAACTACTAGCATAAATATGAGCACAATATTAAATCACTTTTCCTGTATAACAGAATTGTAACAAAAACAATTATCATTCGACTTTAATTAAAGTAAAGACAATACAATTGCTTTCACATTATTATTGATAGACTAACCTCCTCTAAACTCTAAAAAGAGATCCACGAACCTAAAAATCATCATGACGAAAAGAGATGGAGAGCACGCGTAGCACAATCCTTCAACAATCTAAAATAATAAGGTTATAATACAGCCATAGATAAAGTTAAAGCTATATTTCTATAGTTGGAGGTAGTGTGGCGGGAATTTCGATTTAAATTAAAAAAAAAAAATAGTAAGAATTCAGTTCGCATGCCGTTGCTGTCACGACAAATCATGGTCTCAAAAAGTAACATAATTTAAATCTGGAAAATAATTTATTTTTGCACCTTCCTTAAATGTTTAACCATATACATTACATAGTAACTAAATACTTCAGATATGCTTATTTATTATTAATAAAAACCAAATATACATACNTTTTTGTGTTCAAAAACAACTTTTGAGATTAACGATTATGCAAAAGATTGTTTATTTTAAATTGTAAATATTTGTGTCTGTATTAGTATATTCCGCGTGCGTTGGAAAACGACTTTATTTTATAACAGAGTGGTGTTTACACGTTACATATTGTACATATATTACATATACAATCAGTGCCAAATCATTTTAAGTACCAATTTTTATTAAATGTGTGTATCCAACGCAAACATATCATCAAGTAAAAAGCTTTCTTTCTATTGGTGCGTGCTTAAGTATGATAAATTGCAAACAAAATGGTTCAACTACTCCAATTAGAAAAAGAGCGGCGTTTTGTTTGTAGTTTGGGGATGGTGATGATCTTTTTATCGCAAAAAATGGGCAACTGTTATTTCCACGAGCACAAACATCTTTTATATGTATATACTGTACACGCCCGCTATCGTATTTCATATAAAACTAAGGTGATTATCCGAACAAACTCATAGTTTCTTTTCGACGATCAAAATGCTAGGCGAAAGAGACATCAGAGAGAAAGAGTGTTATTCTAATGTTTCGAACATAACTCATCCACCGTCAAGAGACGATGGGCTCTATTGTGACCGTTACTTTGATGGGTTACTATGTTGGGATTTTACGAAAGCTGGCACTGTAGCAGCACAGCATTGTCCCATAGGACTTTCAAAGGTACTTGCTTTCATTAAAAAGAGTTTGTGAATAGGTAGTTTTTAAAATTAAGCATCTGACTTCTTGAATAGAAAGCAATTAATTGTGTAGCTTTCTATTATTCAGACAAGTTTAATTTCAATCACATAAATATTACATAACTGATTAACCAGTCATTAATAAAAAGTTCCTTAAACTGTAACCTTGGCTATAATCAGATGTAGAAATTGGAACAGTAATTTTGGCTACATTTTTAAGGAGACCGCTTTCCAACGATTATAAAACTAACAAAACTTAATTAAAACGACAGAATTCGTACAAGTAGTTTACGATGTGTTGCATATCTATTTACAAACAATTCCTTTAAATTTAATTTTTCAAATAATTTTTAATACAAAGGGAGTGATTAAACATATTGTTCACAAAAGTGAATTTTGACCACTCGAAGTAATGGTGCTAACAGTTTCGAGTTCACAGTGGCTGATAGGGGGAAAGAACTAGTTACCCTAATAAAAATCAGCCACTATGGGTATCAAATTCTAATTATGATTTTTCAAATTTACAATATGCCTGGACAAAATGATGTCTTTTCTTTGTTACTTTTACTTAACAAAGTATTGAGGTAAGCTAAAAAATTATTATCTCCAAACATTAAATTAAATATTTTAAGACAGATTAACAAAGTATAATTAAAAATTAAAAAAAAAACAGTTTCCACTCTGTCTTATATGAAATGTGTAAATTATGAAATGTTTTTATTATCATTTTTTTATGAAAATGAATTGCTATCAAGTAAACTTAACTTAATTAAGCTAATTAAGAAATTCATTATAAAAATTAAATGTCTTGCTTATCTGATTATAAATATAAATACATACATATCACTTACACCAAATGAGTGCAGGTCACGTCCCAATCTGGTTTGTACTTAGAACCCATTTCCATGGCTTTTGCTCTTATTTTTCCCCTTTCTGGATGCTGTATACCACTTATAACAAGTACAACACCTTCCAAAAGTTTGTGAAACGGTTTTTTCTTTACGTTTTGTTTAACGCGCTTATTTGGCGTCATATTAAATCCATTATTAGCTTTCCTTTTAGTTTCTTGAAATGCTTGGGCACTTGTAGAAGGAGAATCTAGGTGATCTTTTTTTGTCTTCTTGTTGTCTTTTTCTGATACTACAGAAGCACCTTTATTGGCATCTTTATTAACTTTGATCTGTATTTGTTTTTTATTGTATTCTTGTTGTTGTTTTTTCTCTTCTGATTCTTTGTTCTTTTGTTCTATTAATTTGTCAATTTTTTTGTTAGGGCCTTCATCATCTTTGTTATATAAAATTTCATCACGATTACGTTCTTTTTGGATTAATTCAGAGTCAGAAACGTTTGAAGTGCTAGGTTTATTTTTATAGGTAAGAGGTGCTTCTATTATCTTTTGCTTTGCTGGCGGAGTTCCATTAAAAGCCAAGTTTGATGCCTGACGAATTGCAGCAGCACCTAAATAAAATACTTCTTAAAAATGAACAAAGAATGGCAAATGACAGAGGAATAACTATGATGAAATTACCTCAGACTAAATTATTTTTGTAACTTGTCTATCTAAACTAGAACACTTCTTTTCCTCTATATTGAACATTCAGAGGTCATATTTAGTGTAATTATTAACTATTATAATTTATCGTATTTATGCCATACATTTTTTATTAAATATAGGTACTCTCACAAATAACTGAGGTAAAAACAACATTTAATTACTAGTTTATGAGCTATTAAAATTTAACCTGTTAAAGGCAGCACATCTCCTACTTCTTTCTTTTTAGCAAATAAACTCCCTGCATTTATATTGTCTGGTGAATCAGGTCTTATTAAGAACTTCCCTATTTTTGTGTTTCCTACACTATTTTCATTTTCTTCAGGAGCATTTAAGGTAATAAATGAAAGACCATATTGAACGTGTCTGTTAAAAGGCTGTGTGCAAACGATTTTTATTCTGTCCCATTTTTCATTTCGTTCTGGATCTTGTAGTTGATCTTTTGTAAACATTCTCACCTAAATTAAATTTACTATCAACTCAAATTTTTATTGATTAAACTTCCTCAATTACCTTGTTAATATTGTGGCTCTGTTTTGACTCTAAAGGGGTCATAAATGTTGACATCACCAGTAAAATCTTGTAGGTATCATTTGAACTTGAACGGCCTCCAAGAATTTCAACATATGCAGAATGCTCATTTCCAATGTCAATGCTGGATATCACACAAGCCTTTTCTAACTGCAACACTACACTTGCAGACTTTTCTCCTGGATTGAGACATTTCCACTTCATTGAGGGGTCACTTGACAAAAGGTTATTAGCACAATGTACCTAAGGAAATTATTACTTTCTATAACCGCCAAGGTAATAATAAATAAAATACTTACAGGATCTTCACTACTAAAGCTTACAATGTGACTAATTTTTATTTTAGGCATTTTTTGTTTATTTAAAACTATATAACCTAAAAACTATTATATCAATATCTGAAATAACAGGAACAAAAAAACAAATTCTTTTACATCCTAATCACTTTCACCTTTTAAGTATAAGTATTTGGGATTTATTTGGCCTGAATATTTTGGATTTAATGATATTTGATAAGCGGGAAAAAATTTAATATGAATTTCTCAAAATAACCATTACCAATTGCTAAACTTTAAGGCTAGCAGTAACTAGGTATTGTGTTGGCGAAACTGGGTTATGGGATTGGCGGTACAATTATTTAAAATTTTAAACATTAAAAGTTTGTTAAAATTGTAGTTCCCATATTATTATCCTAGTTAGGTAAATTACAGTTTTGCACAATTAAAACTATACTATAAACCTATATATACAATTGTGCATCTTTAAGAATAAGTAGTATTAACTTTATTCCTCAGAAATATATATTTAAATATTAAATAGCAGGTCAATAAAATTTTGAAGAAAAAGTCTAAATATTGTAGAAAAGTAACATATTATAAAGTTTCAGGCACCCTGTATATTCAAAATAATAAAAACCACACGCTATTTCTGCAATTTGTAATGATTTTTTGTGTTCANTTTATTTTTACTTAATTACACATAACACTGCTGCAACGTCAACCGACACAAATTAATTATAAAAAATGAGGTATATGACTGTATATGACAACGTCAGAACGTCATAGCCTTAGCCATTTGGACGCATCTGATTGGTGAAATCTATTAGCGCAGTTAGGAAGTAGAGGGGATTCACTGAACAGTTTAATTTTTTAAATTAAATTACTTCCAAAATTATCCACTCTTTTTAATTAATTGTATATTAGAGAAAAATGGTTTAAAAACTACCACATTCTGAGTTAATTTAATAAAAATTAAAAGGAATATTGATGGAAAAATTGAAATAATTAGAAAAAGGTCTTTAACCCTCTTTAATGTGTTTATTCTTTTTTCTTCGTAATTGTGTACGTAGATAGTACTACGTACAAAGGTATATGTAGGAGGAATTATTTATGTCAATTTAAAAATAACTTTCTCAATATATTTCGATGTAAATATACACTAAATAATGTTACTTTTAAATCTAACGCAATATTCTTAAAAAACCGTTATATATTACATTATCTACATTCTTTTAAGTGTTTTGGTGAGAAAACAGTCTAAGTTCCCTTTTTAAGTGTGGAAAATCGAAAAACGCGGATTATTTTTCATTAATTTTCCAGTTTTTCATTTTCCGGTAGAGTATCGGCAACCATACATTCTCACGTGTTGCCTGCACAGCCTAATTATGGGCAGAAAACTATATGTTTTAGCTATTATATTACAATTAATGAATTTACATATTAATGCAAAAAAGAATAGTAAGACCAAATTTCAATATTAATCTAAAATTTGCGAATTAACCAGTGAAATTTTATAAAAATACAAACATATCCTACAAGATAATTTGAATAGATAATTTCTGTTTTTATTAAAGAGACTCTAAAGAAAGCTGTTTGAATGTTTATTATTTTATTACATTCACATTCATTCAACTAGTCTATGTGCTTTTTCTTTCTGTAAAAAGAATTTTGTATTTAGAAATTGCAGGGATGTACATTCAATCCACAATTTAAAAACCTTTTTTATATGTTTTACTTGAAAATTTAATTTCTCTTTTATTAAACCAGTTAAAAAAGTACCAAAATGTATGAAAGCTGTTGTGAAGCTTCAAAGGAAAGAATTTTATAATTAGAAATTGTCGGGCTGCACTTTCAACCCCAATTTAAGAACTTCGGTTATCTTGTTATCTTGATACATTAATTTCTTTCTTATAAAACGAGCTGAAAGTTCCAAAATATATTAATGTTGCTGTGAAGTATCAGCAAAAAAAATTTTATGGTTGTAAATTACCGGGGTACCCTATGAACCCCCAATTTGAAAACATCGTTTTTATTTTTTGATAAATTAATTTCTCCTTTATGAAACCAACTGAATGTACATAAATGTAATATAGTAGTCGCGGATGGGTGCAAACTGAAATTGTGTGGCTAAAATTGACTACTGAATATTTTAAATTCTCTTATTAAAGTCCTTAATAAAGTAATTAGAAGTGTTAGTGCAGTTCTGACTATGAAAATACTCTTCAGTGTAGTGGGTTGCCTAAAAAATTTAAAACTGTATAGAAAAATTGGTATCTTCGCGGGAAATTAAATGAGTACACTGAAGTCTTGATAAAGATAAGATTGTTGTGGTATGAGCCGAAATTTATAAGCTCTACAATTGTTTCGGTTTTTTGGATCTTTATCAAGAGTGCTTATCGGCTGAAAAGTTAAAACAATTGTAAAGTAAACCTCTAATAAACCGAAACATTAAATTACAATTAATTCATCAACCAGGATATCAGTGGAAATTAAATGCATCAAATGCTTTTCATTTTGCTTGAATAACCGGTTATTTTCATGTTGTGTACTGTACATTACGATTTTTGATAAAGATTTAGTCACATGGTTAAAAATGAGGACAACAAAACTTCGTTAGTTCTATTAGAAAAAATTGTGCTATTTTTATTAATTAATAATAATCAAAATGATACTTCTTATTAATCAGAAATAGCGATTGTTCAAAAAGAAAAATAATGTCCCCCTTTTTTATTTTGCATAAGCTAACAGCAAGATAAAAAACAAAGAATTGTTAATATTCTGTCCAAAGATTGAGAAATTTGTAAGTTTTTTCTTTCGTAGGTATCTAAATTCTGTAATTTATTTCTGCATTTAAAGAAAGCATTGTATTTTATTTTAATAGTTCTACAACCATCACATTCTCTCCAAGTAATATCTGTTTGTCTTCATTTTAATCTTTTGTATAATCGTATCATTCGGTCACCTCTGCTTTTTAGTATGTAACTGTGTAGATAATGGAATCTTGAATTCCTTCGTTATGAATAACTAAATTAAATGTAAAAATTAATTTAGAATTTTATGATTTAAACAGTAAAATTTGTAGAAATGCGTAGGTGTTTATTCCAAAATGATATTTTTTTGTTAAATGGTTTATAATATTGATAACTAATCTATGGTACCTATGATATGAGTAATAGTATTTTGCAATTTTTTATATATGTAAAGTTTCCTTATTTACGAGTGTTTTCTCTGGTAAACACTTTTTGATTCTCTCACCCTCCCAGCTTCCCTAAAACCAGCTACCACCCTGACCAAAAATGATCAGGAGTATTGACAATGATACACTTTTCTATTTAATTTCAGAATGGAGAAAACCCCTTTAAAGTCTACCCCATTTTGAGATCATTTAATAAACATGAAAAGAAATATTGATGAAAAAATGGAAATATTAGAAAAAGGTCTTTAGCCTTCCTTAAGTATTTGTTTCTGTTCGTATAAAGTCATGTACAAGGAGTTATTTATGTCAATTTAAAAATAAGTTTTGNCTTTACAGAATAATAATAAAGTAATTTAATAACAATTTTCATCAATAGTTTTTTTTTTATTTTTATTTAACCAGACGATTAATATTTCAAGAAAATAATTGAAAAAGTAGAACAATTTTGATGCTTATATTTTTATGAAGGAATTCGCAACTTTGCGTTGTGAAGAAGATGGACAATGGTATTTTAGTTCAGAACATAACAAAACTTGGACAAACTTAACCGCATGTCAGTATCAACCGTTAGATGAAGAAACTGCAGCAATTCCTTTAGATTTTATCATACCAGTGCCCAGTGATTTACTTGAATCGTACCAAATCTGGTTGAAAATTATAAAAAGAGTTTCATGGGTTGGATATGGGATTTCCCTGGTCGCGCTGATATTATCCATGGCTATTTTTGCTTTAATAAAGTTTGTAATATTTATTGCAATTATTTTGACACACATATACTGCTGTAGCTTTTGATGAGTTTCAAATGTTGATTTTATTACTAACGTTTCTTAATTAACTTGAAATGTTTGAAATATAAAATGGGGCTGTTCACTTCCATTCTTCCCTTCTCTTTTTTTTTTAATTTATAGGAAATTGAGGTGCCCTCGTAACAGATTACACATGCATTTGTTTATGTCCTTTATCATGCGTGCTATCATGTTTTTATTAAAGGACCTTTCTTTCGTTAAAGGCATTGCTTTTCAAAGGGATATTGTCTCTATTAATGGTAGGGAATCTATCAAAGAACATAATGTAAGTAGAAAGAATTAACAGTACAAAAGAAGCAAAAAGAGTTTTCAATTAATTAAAAGTTACAAGTTTACACAATTTATCTTGTTATAATAAATTGTTCAATTTTTATTGTTTATGTGATATAATTTTGATAATTCTATTTTTGAATGTATCAGAAGGAAATAAAAAAAGAATTAGTAGCGTCTATATATATAAATGTAATGGAATATTTGCTGTTAAAAATATAAAGTTTGATTTTCAGTTTTGGCTCTGCAAAGCGTTCACAAGTGCGCAATGGTATTTTTCAATAGCAAATTGTGTAATGGTCCTAATGGAAGGAATATATCTTCACAATTTAATGTTCTTAAGTGTACTTTCAGATAACAGTCGGATTACTATTTACTATCTTTCAGGATGGGGTAAATATTTATACGTTTTTACTTGTTATGTAGCTATGCATACATTTTATTACAGTTTTATATTTAAACTAAAAATAGTATAAGCAAATAGGCATGTTTTGTTCAAGTGTTTTAAGATATTTTTAACTCCACTTGATTAATTAACACTACTAATATAAAGAGTTATATTTTAACCAATATTTGTCAGCTTTATGTGACTTGCATTATTATTAATTAGGACTAAATAGGACAAAGAATTCTATTCAAAAGAGGCGCTTTCATTAAAAAAAACTTATTGAATGTCTTTATTCGTATTTAGGATTGCCTTTCTTATTTGTAATTCCCTGGTCAATTCTAAGGGCAACTTTTGAAGATAAAATGTGCTGGACCACTAACGAAAATGAATATTTACGATTGCTTATAGAAATTCCTCAAGCAGCCTCAATTATTGTAAGTTTACGAGAATTTGCAATGCATTTTTTAATTTCTTGTAATTTTAGATAAACTTTATACTATTCGTTATAATAGTTCGTATTTTGTTTCTAAAATTGGGCTCCATGTTTATCCAACAAAGAAGTGTTAGATATAGGTAGAAAAAATATTATGTAAGAATTTATATATCTACCTCACCACAAAAACATTTTTTGTAGACGTTTGGCAAGGTCTACCCTTATTTTAATACCCTTATTTGGCGTGCCTTATGTGGTATCGTTAATAATGGGATATGCTATACCTTCTAACAGTAGTTTGGAAATTATTTGGCTTGTTTTGGATCAGTTTTTAACCACTTTTCAGGTACCTACTTATAGCTCATAGCTATTTAAAAAATAATTAACTTTAAATTTGTAGGGCTTTTTCATAGCGTTAATATACTGTTTACTAAATGGGGAAGTACACAGTGAAATAAAAAAGTTTTATGCTATAAAAAGGCGCCAAAAGTTCAGACGATCTAGAGAAAGAACCATTTCTAGTAATACACAATGTACGGTTTTCTCTCCATTAAATGACGATATCAATCAAGAGAATGGGGACTGTAAGAGTTACCTCTACGCCTCCAACGAGCCTAAAGAAATTAACAATCTTAAATACGAGTCTCTTTTACTAACAGAAAATGATCTCAAAAATACTGAAGGAACAGAAGACTGTAGAAATAAATGTTCAAAGTTTTAAGAATTTTACTATTACAGTGTGTGATATAGACCATTATATGTTTTTGTCCTTTTGATTTAATGCTTTAATATATCGTTTAAATTTTTCTTATTAATCTCTTATTAACATGAACATTTAATGCAGTAAGGGACAGTTATTAATGTAATTGTAATATTATTTACCAAACAAAAAGTTTTATTCTTTCAGAGGAGGCAAAGGGATTGCAATTTTTTGCTTGTTTTTTTATATTGTATACGTACTTAGACATTTGCTCATCTTATGTATTCATATATATCTACAGTACTTACCTGCAAAAAACTACATTTCAAATCGCACTCAGGGATACTGTAGCTTTCTATAAGTATAATTTATAGGATCGATGGTTCCAGAGGTAATCCCCCACACATAAACAATTATCTGTTTTCATTAGTGTAGATTTGCTTATGGAAAGCTCCTTTTTGAACACTTTATTTGTTTATTTATTATTGATCACTTATTAATCAATATTTAAACTTCAATTGTTAATATTTGTTGTTATTAAATTAAAAATAAAACAATAAAAATGTGTTAAATATACAATTTATTAAACTGCACACGCGAAGAAATGCACAATCGAACATGTCGCTGCAGAATGGGCAAAAATACATAACAAACAACAATAATATAATTATTATAACAATATTACAAACGATGTCCTGTGTCAAGTCCAAAATACGAAACGGACCCAATGTCCCCATCTCGTTACCATTCACTACATGTTAATGAAAAACACAAAAAAAAAGAAAAAATGTTACGACGAAATCAATAAATTAATAAACGGATGACGACAGTGGCGTGTCGAAGAAGGAAGGTGGTTGTAAAATTAATAGTTCCTTTTAATTAATGATTAAAATCGGCGGTTTACTAACTAGGTACATGCTCAGTCTGTTTTAAGACGATAATTTCTTTTTTCTTTATTCTTTACGAGGTTTTCTCTTTCTTGGTATGTCACCTTCTCCACTTTGACCAGGAGGGGGTTGCTATATAAAAAGAAAACATTTTTACACTTTAGATATGCTCAACTACCTCTAATGTCGAATTAACAATTAAATATAAACCCACCTCTACATTAGCAGATTCCTCTCCTTCATCGTCTTCATCTTCATCTTCACTTCCAGAATCTTTTTCTTCGTCTCGTATAGGATGTTTCGATTTTTTGTCTTCTTCACTGCCCTTTTCGTCTTCCTCTTCTTGCTGTTCTTCAGGTACATCTTCAACAGTATCTGGAGTGGCTTCATCTGTTTTTTTCTTTTCTGCCATTCTCTTAAGTTCCTCTTGCTCCTGTTTTATTTAAATACAGAAATCATTAATAAAAAGGGGAAATGTAAAAATTTTTAAAGATTTTTTATAGCTTTTTCCTCATAAATGGATTACTACAAATTAAAAAGAAATAAACAACAAAAATAAAATTTGNTGAATCAAAACAACACCAATTTACTATCTCTAAATTCTAAAATCCCAAAAAGTTCTTTCAATATTTGTATGGAGATGAAATAATTAACAATAATAACGTACACAGTAGTGAAAGGAAATAAAAATCAGATTTGCAAAAGTCTCAAACACTTTATGTACCTTTTTACCACCACAGTGGATTTTTAAAAATCCAAAGAGAATTCTTTGCTCTAACTCCAAATAACACCAGTTCAAAACCATAAGTATGGTTTCAAGACATTCTCAGGCAAATTATAATTTTCTATATTTTATTATTAGATGATTTAGTTGTCTGGCAGTCATTTAAATCGTTTCAAATATGCCTGCATCTACATGTAATGCGCACAGTTTCACCTCCAATTAACCTTTTCCTTGGGATGTAATAACATATGAACATATATGAATGAAGTAGAAATTATTACATCAACACCTGGTGAAATTGTTATATACATGCCTGGGTACCTACAGACTGACCTGGTGTGGTACTTATTACGAACAATTATTTACTTGCACGTTAGAAGTGAACGCATAAATTATTGCAACAAAAAATGAAAAATTGAACGGTCATTTTCTTGTACAAGTGAAGACTTTTCCATTTAAAACTCATCAAAATTACACATACTGTTATAATAGCCTGCACATTGTAGTACTTAGATGTATGTACTATTACGACGTATTATGTAAGTGCTTACAAGTACCTATGTACATGCCCAGATGTATGTAATTGTTCATGCATTCGTGAGATCTTAATCCATCCTGTTACAATCAGTTGAAATCCTTATGAATCCTGTTCACACTTTTTTCTTCACAAATTCCCACAAAAGGTCAACAGAACTATACATTTAACGAGCGGATTTAACATAATAATCATTGTTTATCAGAGATGTGATATATTGGAAATGCACAATACAAACTGTGCTGTATTGTTGAATAAAACACTCTGTATACATTGGCGTATACCAAGAATTTATACCAATTAAGGTTCAGTTAGCTTCTAATAAAAAATATGTTTGGTAACAACCGTTTTAACATAAATACGATATTATTCGATAAAAATATAAAATATGTCCCTGGGTATCAATAAATTTCTTCTGCTTTGGAAGATTTTAACAACCAATAATAAATGCCCCTTTTATATCGAATGTATGGAATCACTTAACAGTTACTTAATATAGAGGAAATTTACATATCGCCTTCTTTATTTAATTTATTCGGAATAAAAGTTTCTTTGAGATAAGATCTGTTTCCAGGCATGCTAATGGTTTGTTTATTATTAAACACGCCTAAATAATAGCAGTGATTAATTGTGAATAGCTTTGCGAAGGAAAATACACGTAATTTATAGTGTTTTGTAGCAGAATTTCGGAAAATTTACCAACAGCATCCCAAACAAATATCTACATAAGCAGTTGTTTTTGTTTAAGATAAATAAATCATATTTCTTTCCAGAAAAGAGTCAGTTAAATCAACCTTCCTACGTTTGTTATTTAATTAAAGATGCCTAGCCTCTGCATCGAATATAAAATTTTCCTTGCTAATAAAAGTGCGTTTTCACTTCATGATGCAACAACGGCGATGTACAGAAAGTATATGGGGACCTGTTTGGGCTTTTGCAACGTGATTTAAAAATGCATAATACTCCAACAATGGTAAATTGCAATATTCCATTATATAATAGGTACATGCTTTGAACAACAGCTAAATAATTGGTGTTAAGTTAATAATTTTCTGTAGAACAGGAGTTAAGAGGAGCAGATTTAATTTATATTAGATTATTGTTCACAACTCGAAAATCAAAATTGTCTCTAATATTTACTAAACATATTTTGGACTTGGAAAATACCACAAATGGCGCGGTAAACGCCATCTGTAGTACGATGCTACATTTTAGGATTAGGTACGTATGCTCTAACAAGGTCCATTTAAATATATGGATATTTACTAGCTGAAACGAATCCCGGCGTAGCTAACCTCAACGTGATAGACACGTTACCATAATCGAATAAAATAATTCGAAGTAGTCTGTATTCTGTCGAAACTGCCAGACGCGGATCGCGATTTCGATCTTTTTGGATCTCATCAGCGCATCGCAGGCAGTTCCGATAGAATACAGACCAACTTTTACCTATTCGTTTCAGCAAGTAGATATCCATATATTTAAATGGACCTTGTTGGAGCATACCTAATCCTAAAATGTAGTATCGTATTACAGATGGCGTTTACCGCGCCATTTGTGGTATTTTCTAAAACGCGCTATTAAGACAGCAGGTACAAGTTGGTCTGTGTTCTGTCGGAGCTGCCTGCAACGCGCTGATGAGATCCAAAAAGATCGAAATCGCGATCCGCGTCTGACAGTTTCGACAGAATACAGACCACTTCGAATTATTTTATATTTTGGACTTGTTTGGGATTTAATTAAAAAGGATTTAAGACACCCTCCATGTGCGAGGTGGAGCGTCTGTTCCCTCTCCACTTTAGTCCACAACTGGATTTCTGTCTTTGTCATTTTGTAGTTTTCTTCAAAGATAAGTGCAGTGTTGAAGTTAATCTAGATGATCTAAGACGTTCTTTGTCATAATTTAAATATTAACATAGTAAAGATAAATTCAATTGTTTAGTTGTGTATACAAATGCTTAGTGCACTTATGTTTTATGAAGCATTTGTATAAATTTTGAACAGAACACACCAACCAGCACAGTCATCAGAAATTGAACAGAAGGAAGTTCATTCTTTATGATTGCAGATTCTTAAGAATGAAAAGAGAATAATGTTGTATCTATATCTATATGATTAAAATCTAAAACAGGAAACAAAAGATCCAGCAATATATTTACAAATATACAAAAGTAGTGATTGAGAGGTTGCAGTAAATCATCAATTGGTTTGGACCACATTTCTGATCATTGATGTTGAAAGAAACTTGAGACAGAATATTGCACAATTAAAACATTGGAAGCAAAAAGACTGAAGATCAAGAAAGTTGTCAAACGAGAAGTTCAATCACTTACAGACCACGGTTTACAGGAAACCTGGAGGAAATGAAATGGATAATTCCTGATTGCAGGTTATAGTGTAAGGAACAATGAATCAAAAAGGGGAGGGCGATCTGGGGGTCAGCAAATGATTAGTCGAAAGTAGAATAAGTAAAGATCAAAGAAATACTGTGTTGGACATTTCAATGAGATTGATGGTGACGCCACGCAAAAAGAATATAAATGTCAAGAAATTGGAAAAAGAAGTACTGTAGAAGCCACAAGATAAAAGTGAGAAGGAATGAAGCAAAAAAAAAAGATGTATTACCAAGAACCACGACAGCTCCTTTAGATATTTAGATAGGTTTTTTAGAATGAAGAAATAGACATCTTTTAAGGTTATTTCATGATAGCAAAACATCAGAGACATCGGCCAAAATAATACAATTGAATCCAATGTAAAATCAAATTCAAAAACTCCACATATATAACGGACACTTAAAAACCTAAAACGCTAAACATCCAAGGTGGCATCATCAGTTAGATACCCCAATCCTTAACTGTTTCCGTGGAACTGAATTGTATCAAACTGAACAAATCTTTTAGAGGTTTGATAAAGAGTACCAGAGAAAAGAAAAGAAATTCCACCATCTCGTTAAAGAGGCGCTCAAAGAATAAAAGATCTTTAGAAGAAGGAGACGACTGCTTGACTCTTAATTGGCAGTCGATCTCGATCATTCGTAATTGCTTGGAAGACGTTGTTCCAAACTATTCGGTGTTTTAATTCGTTCTGGATCGAAGTGCAAGAAACACCGAGTTTCAAGTTCCATCTTCGTTTCCACAGGTGATCCGATTGCAGATCGTGAAGTCGTGCAGTTTCAGTTGGCTGGGGCTACAGAATACGGTATCTGTTATATCCTCCTCGTCGCGGTAGTCGTCGTCTGTCTGTCCGTAGTTGTTAGCACACCTGTACCTGCACATTCCACACGCGGAGAGAAGCGGCCAATTCTTGGTGGGGACGTCGAGGAACATTCACCGAACCAGCAACTGGTAGATGAGTGAGTGCAAGGTAAGAGCACCAGGCCAAAGCAAACCAGGCACTGGAAACAGTTGATGATGTCGATGATGGCAATAGCCTTCTACGACCGACGACCGGCTTCACTTGTGAAACTATTTCGCACACGTTGTTATTATTATTATTATTATTATTGTTAGATAGAGTTCGATCGAAAAGTTTTTCTCCATTGCGTGTTGCTACCGGCAACCATTGACTGTTAACAGTTCCGTCGATATCAAGAGCGGAAAGCGGAAACGCACTTCAACTCATCCTTCTCGCTTTCTGCCTGTCTCTTGCACGTGTTTACCAAAAATCGACAATAGTGAAAGAACGAACATACTCAACCGAGTGCTCCTGCTCCTTTTTTAACTTCAATAGTGTCCGTGGAAAACAAAAGATAAACGAGAAACAACAAACAAGCCATGGATACTTAACTTTTATCTTATTGTTTCGTTTGTGTAGTTAGAGTTTGTGTAAGTAGTTGTGAACACTGACGTTTTAATAGAATTCGAGAGTCGGGCGCCTGTTGGTGTCTTTCAACACAATAATTTTATGCAGTCTTCAAATTGGCAAACAGAATTGTAGCAGGTGAGCTATCTTCCTTCATTACTTACTTACTTACTTAATTATTGTATCTATGTGTATGATGTTTAAATAATTTAATGTAGAAACACCGTACTGTTTGGCAATAGTAATTAATAGATTGCGATGGTGTTTTTTCTCAACGTGATAGACACGTTACCATAATCGAATAAAATAATTCGAAGTAGTCTGTATTCTGTCGAAACTGCCAGACGCGGATCGCGATTTCGATCTTTTTGGATCTCATCAGCGCATCGCAGGCAGTT